TGCGCATAGTAGCGTATGGTGACATCATGTCAAGATTCTATTCAAGTCTCATCTCGTAGATAGCGAGACTGATGCTACGACCTTCTGACATGACATATTTCAATGTTCAAGGTTTGTATTAAAGCAATAAAACATGTCTCACCACTATCATAGTGAAAAAGTATAATACATCGAAAATGTACAGAATAGTTCTCGTAATCTGTCATCGTGAGCACCTATTTTGATCCACCTGGACATCCCAGTATCCTAGTTACCTTGGGCATGCACATTCGCATTGTTATGAGTTGGGAACGCTTATGCATGAGCAAGATTGAAACTGGATCTTGGTATCATGTCACACTACTTACAAACCCCAAGTAGTGTACCTCTGGTATTATGTTATATGGTTAAATGAAAAATAACATAAATAATAAAATACATGTATGTGACAATGTGAGTAAAATATTCATAACTCTTTCAAGTTTGAGGACATGGATCCAACACAGAGAGAAGCGATTATACATCAGCTGAATGAAGATACACAAAGACTTATGACTGAAAGTCGTGAGGTTGGACACGTATCGACTGATCCTGAACTTGAAGAACTTGAAAAAGAAGTTGACAACTGCAACCAATTAATTGAAGAAATGTCAAGAGGAGCCGAGAGTGAGTGGAATTTTTTTTTCTTTGAATAACTAAATGAATTATTGGAAACTAATATTTTAAGGTGCAGATATTTCTTCTTTGACATGCTCTGTGGACTGGACTGCATTCTGTTGACATTGTCACAATTATTATTAGTTTAAAGGGCGGCGTGGCGTGTTTGATATGGGACTCATAGCGACGTATACAATGCCTGTAAAATACATTGTTTATTTACATGAAGTACGAACAAGTGCTGCGCGACGACCACCGCCCTTTAAGTCAACTTTTGTCATTCACAAATATTTAACCCTTAATTTTTTGTATTTTTCCCAAAATTTTGATCATGCTTTACAGCCATTAGGTTATTATGTCCTTTTGGTTCAAAATTATCAAAAACAATTTGTACATACAAACACTACAGGCGAAATCTTGCACCAAAATTTTGTTGAGAAAAATGGTGGCACTTAAAGAGTTAGAGTCGTTAATTTATAATCTTGATTTCCTTGATGCTTTCAAAATAACAAAAGTATTATTAAAATAATTGGAACTATTTGTCAGCAGACTACAAATTGTGAACTTTCAGCATTTGGATATTTCACTGTAGTCATTGCTTGAGATTCACTTGTCATCTGTCTACCATCTTTAATTCTTTCACAAAATGAAGTGCATTATGTTTTACATATTGTTTTCAAAATTGTTGTTCAAGACCTGTTGCCAGTAAGAAATTATGAACATTTGGTCCAAAATTAATGAAGAAATTGTAAACCAATTCTGAAAAATGCGCAAACTGTTGGATGGGAAAATTTATACTTTTCAATCATGACCAATCAATCAAGAGCATTGGATTTGAATCATGAGATAGACTGTGCATAATTGAACGACCATTCATGTAACTGATTTTCTCAGTTCAATTTGTGTTGCATGTTTACATCTTTCATTTTGTCTTCTCCAACAAAATATCAATAATCTATTTCCTTGCAGCCGTTATGAATCCACAGGAAGCTCAGAACGTTATGACTGACATGGATAACTTTATGAGTGATCTGGACGTCAAAGTGTCAACTCTTAAAATCAAATTGAAGTCTCCAATTCCAAGAGATGCAGCAGCGGTTGATCAGCTGTTAGAAGCACAGCAAGTGAGTCCCGTATTGTGAACTTTTTCTTGAAAAAAATAAAAGGAATTTAATCAGACAAACCCTGACAGTTTCAATATATTGCTTGTAAAATATTTATTTTTAGCAACTCTTGAATCGTACAAAGTTATATGTATAAAAAATTGGGGTCAAGAACCAAATTTTGACCATGATATTACTTTAAGCAGATTACATTAGACTCTGTGGGACAAAAGGAAAAAACTTAGGAACTGTATTTAAATAATAAAAAAAGTGAGTTACTGATTCAGAAGTTTCCGGATGCTAATTCATGGAACGTGTTCTCAGATAAGAATGCTGAACTTTAAAAAATGGATGGATGATAAACAAAAATGTGAATGACTTGCGCACACAACTGCATAAAAGTGTTGATCAACCTAAAAGGGTAATTGTCGTCATCAGACAGAGTGCTTATACATGTGTGCATGACAAACCTTATGTATTGTGTTATATGTGTTACTTTTCAGACCTTCCACAGAGAATTAAGCAATCAACAACCACAGTACCATAGTCTGAAAATAAACTGTGAGAGCATTGTGCGACAGTCAGAACCCTCACAGCAACCCAGACTCCAATCTCATCTCAGTATGTTCATCAAGAAATGGGAGTATGTATGGAACATCTCACTTGTACACACACAGACGTAAGTAAACAAAAAATGTCCTTTCAGAAATATTAATGGTTTCTATTACTCTGGAAATAATTCCAAATCTTTGCACACAGTGTCAACATGCAAGATAGGGAGCTGATATCTTGGTTTCCATGACAACCGGTTTTGTGCTTGATACCGTGGTTTGTTACGATATTTCACAACAAATCACTGTAACCTTGCACTCGGTGAACAGCAGTGAAATTGTCATGACTACAAAATAATATTGCTTTCTTTATTACTGAATATGAAGCAGATTCTGGTACCTTGATTCCAATGTGTATTCACCGGATTACCAACAATCTGAATTTGAAGTTAACTTTAAGAGTTTTCATAACTGATGATGGTTATAATTTCACTATATTAGTGTCAACTGTTGCACAATCCTAACCTGGTTCAAACCTTTTCTTTTTTAACAGGTTGACTATTTCTAGCCTGATACTGAAATCTTTACAGACAGCCAATGACATTGTGTCAAGATATGAGAAGGAATTGGTATCCCATGACAACCTTCCTTCAGATTTAGCACAGCTACAGTCACATCAAGAGGTGCTGCAGGTGAGTTAAATGAGATAAATAAGGAAGTGTCTCATTGGCTTCTCAACCTTATCATCCAACTTTCTGGCCAATCAAAGGACACATTAATTGTTTTGTTAACTTTGTGAATTAGAAGCGACGATTGTCACTCACTGAATACTCAGCTCTTCCATCAGCCAATCGCGCAACACCTTGCTTGTGTACTGGGTGAGGTAAAAGTTATTTACAACAGTACCTCCCATTGGCTATGCAACCCTAAAATTTTACCACATAACGAATCAGAGACCACCTTGTATACTTACTACTTTCAATTTCCAGAGTGTAGTTTTATAAAATTCTACTTCTAATACTATATACTCATTATAAGAACAAAATTTTACTGAATATTTTTTTTTCTGTGCAGGATATGCAAACGTCACTCCCACCTTGCCAACCTATATTCAATCAACTCACTGAGGAGGTGACGAAATTGAAGAATATCCAAGAACCAACTGCCAATGAGCGAGACATTGAAAGGTTTGAAAAAGAAGTTGAAAATATCAACACTAGATGGCTGAATGTTTGTAACCAGACCAACGAAAGGTAAGCATCTATTGACATTGTTCTTAAACATCTACATTTGTACTTCGTTATGCAAATACATATTTGTAAATCTCAAACACTGCCGAGATGGTACATTCTCTTTTCTTGCTTCACACGCAAGTCTTTAATATTACAATCATATCCTTGCCGATAAGATTACAATAAATTGCTATTTGCATATTTTAAGTAGAATTTAAAAACGTAGTATAGTCTGAATCGTACTAGTTGTGCAGTTTACAAATCGTTTTATATGGAGATATGATAACATAAATTATTGCCAATAAATTTCTTTGAATCACAAAACTTCACTGGAAATACCTCAATGAATAACACGATTGATGGTCAAAATTGTCATTATTGTCTGTGCACGTTGTCAACATTTAGTCTGTTTCATTCGCTGAACAATGTTCTTAGATACGTTTCTATTTCAATAAGATAATGTATATACTGTAATTTAGTAAGGAAAATAAAAAAAAAAAATTATCAGGCTCTTAACTCTTTGATGCTAAATTTTTTTCCAGCTTGAATTTGATCACATTTTCTGTAATTTTCACTTAATTTTGGGCCAAGCAGTCAAAATGTGAAATTGCTTCTAGTTTTTGTTCTAAAATTTTCGGATTTTTACAATATTTCATTTTGAAAAGAGCAGACTATAAACTGTTTTTTTCAAACATCTGCACATTGTCGTGAAATGATAACAGTTTAAAGTGTATTTAAAAATATTTATGGGAACAAACTTTACTCGACCGAGAATGTTGAACAGACCATATTATCTATTGGACTACAGGGCTAAAAGGGCAGACAGTGGATTTGACATACTACGAGAATTCAAAGACGCTCTGCTAGATGAAAGAAACTGGTTAGCCCAAGCACAGGCTACCATGATGCTGCTGGATACCACGGTAACGGACAGAAAAGGATTGGAAAACCAGATTGAACAAGTCAAGGTAGGGAAATCTTGTATTGTGATTTGATTATGGGGCAAACATGATATAGATAAGAGTATTGATTTGTGTCATCTTAAATGCATTGTGGGTAATAATAACCATCTACCCTATCTGAAATGTTTGTTTATTGCATCGTCTTGATGATGGCTAAATGTTTGAACTTGTTAATGATTATGTACTCCTAGATGTGAATCAAAAAAAAGAAAAAAACTTTGTTAGCTTTCATCACTTTTTACTATATCGACACATATTTTTGTTCTTCAGGCTTTCTTAGAAGAAATCATTGAACATAGACCTACTGTTGAGGAATTCAATACGAAAGGAAACCAGTACATTCAATTCGCTCAGGTGAGCTTTCTTTATATAAACTGTGGAATACCTTATTTTCGCTGGAATTAATTTTCGCTGAAAAGGCTTTTTGGGCGTTCTGTATGGAATTTATTTTCACTGATTTTTGATGAGTTGAATGTGAAATATAGGAAAAAAGTATATTCGCTGGATTTTATTTTCACGCAATCATCCCTTCAGCGAAAATAGCGAAAATAAATTCCAAGCGAAAATAAAGTATTCTACAGTAGTTCTAGAATGAAAAAAGAGGGGGTCGTTCAGTGTTGTATTCCAATATTGGCACATTCATGCCTCCTGTTAAATAAAAATGAAAGATGTAACAGAGGCATTAGTTAGCATTTCAATAACATTTTTGATTGTCAATCATCATCTTATATTTTAACGTTTTTTTTTTTGTAAAAGTGAAACCTATTTCGATAATGAAACTAAAATTATCCATTTCCTGTTAGACATATGACTGCCTGCTTGAGAACTACAAAGATAGTTTACAAGATGTTCTTGACACTGGTGATAGCAAGAAACCTAAGATTCAATCTGGGGTAGACAATGCCATCCAGGAGATCGAGGCCGTTAACGACGATTACAGTAAACTTGGTGCTGAAGTCTCTGTCATGCTGAGAGCAGTGGCAGAACGACTAAACATCCCTGAGGTAATTGAGACGTTTATTCATACTCAGTTGACTCTGGCTCTTTCTTTGATTTTTATGCAATGCTTTCAAGATGAAATCTGCAATATGACATCATGCCACACAAGTGTATTGTATGGTATATAGCTCCCTCTGGTGGCAGTTATTTGATATTGTGTATACTGTTTGCAAATTGATTGTGGGCCCAAGAATTCAAACAATGAAATTTATCTTATCTGAAAATGGCTCGTGAGATTTCATTGAAAGTGAGAAAGAGCTACAAAATTTGGTTTTTACCTTTCATATATGTAGTGTTCCACTCCCTCCCATCATCGTATCCACAGTTCCAAACGCCATTGATCAAGGCATGATGACTGTAGGGAAGGGAACACTAATAAGGGTATAAACAAACCCTGTGGCTCTCCACCAGATTTTTGCAACATTTTGCATTCAAGACCATTTGGCATATTGCTGAATTTTAATTCAGTTAAATTACCAGGTACCTAAAGTAGCTGAAATAATTTGCTTGTTTTTCCAGTATGTTCCTAGCATGTAAACATATTGATGACTCGATACACTATTTGTTCCAACCATTGTAGGTTTCATCTTCAAATAGCGTCTGGAAAATCAAGAAAGAGTATTATTTGAATTTTTTCATCACAGTTAAACATTCAGTACTCCTGGATTGTTTAATTTTAAAAAGATTTATTATGTTTTTATATGTATATGTTTTTTTTATTCCTATTACAATGCACCATATGTGAAATATTAGCATAGTTCCCTGTGTGTTATACCATGTCTTAAACCATTATTCATTCCTTGTGTGTGCCATATATTCAATGTTATATATCCCTTGCGTAGATTTATACCATGCTGCCATACATCACTGTGTGAAATACCCCTTCATTTATATCATACTGATATATGTGACAATGTAATATACCCTGCATATAGATATACCATGCTATCATACATCATAATGTGATATACTCCTGATATATATCATACCAATATTTACCAGAATTGGATATACCCTACCCACATAGATATTTATACCACACTATCATACATCATAATGTGATATACTCCTGATATATATCATACCAATATTTACCAGAATGGGATATACCCTACCCACATAGATATTTATACCACACTATCATACATCAAAATATGATATATTCATGATCTAACCCACAATGCATTGCCATACACTGCTCTAACATGTTTTCAACACATTCACAATTATTAATTATTGCTAATATTTATTGATTGCTTTATGTACACTGATTATCACATTTATTTGTTGCTACAATTTGCTACATATTAACGTTTATTTATTCATATCGTATCATATGATGTATTAAAGTGCTGATTGCATCATTTCCTTCCCTGCTATTGTTTTAGACTACCCACTTGCATCGAATGTGTTAATATAATGAAATGACTTCTTCTATTATCACTAATTTGTTTTGTTGTTGTTTCAATATGCTCAGTAACAGTTTTCTGAATGACAGTCAACCAGGTGACATTGCTCATATTGTTCATATTTCTGTTTGTGCTTATTATTCTGTTTTTGTTTCTGAAGTGATTGTTTAAAAAAAAAATTGTTCATTTCGTAATCAATAGGTGTTGTGGTGGCCATCTGGGACTTTGTCTCTCTGAATTGTTCTTTTCATAACCAAAATGGTGTAGTGGTGGCCATCTTGGATTTTTGTTCTTCTAAATTGCTCATATCATAAATTAGCATGATATTGTGGTGGCCATCTTGAATTTTTGTCTCTCTGAATTGTTCATTTCACAATCAACATGTTTATTATGGTGGCCATCTTGGATTTGGTTTTCTCTGATTATGCATCTGGTTTGCATGCAGTTTATGGCAAAATTGTGTTTATTTTGGTTGATTTTGAAACAAAATTGGTCTGCAAATAGCTTGGTTCATTGCTTGGTGCATTGCTTAAATGGTTGATACATTGCAAGTGGGCGTCTTTTTCTTCTTCCCTCTGTAAAGGTAGTTATTATGTCTTGAGCATCTCTGTCACAAATTCAATTGAAATTGAAATTTTTTTTAAAAAACTTTTCAAAATGTATTACCAATTTTGGAACGCTAGTAAGCAAAAGCATATTTTGTTTTCACTTCTGGATTATGTTGATTTTTTTTTTCAAACTTTTCAAAGTTTATTATAAATTTTTAGACATGTTTTGACAAAAGCATAATTACATTTTTTATTTCTGTTTATGTTGTGTTTTTTCAAAGTAAATTTTTTTAGACATGTTTAGGAAACTTCTGTTCATGTTGTGTGGCTCTTTGAAGACTAACAATGTGTAAGAATATTAACAGAGTGGCTTAACAGAAAAAAAACATTATATTCATTGCTTTAACCCTTGCTCCTTCCATTACAGCTTGCCATTGCTTTGCTTTACAATGTTATGTTGTTTACCATTATTTGCATACAGATCAGCTTTGCTATGCTTTATATTCACCTCATGCTGCTTTATTGTCATTGACGCTTGCTTCATGCTTTTTATTATGATTTTTTAACCACTGTTTTTGTTCCACGTAGATCTAAACATACTATTAACAGTAACACCAAGTCATATCAAGTCGTTCATATTCCATCTTTACATGTGTGACATAAAGTCATTTTCCCCATGCTACTCCTCCCAAAGTTCCTCCGTGAAGTTCAACAGAGATTAGGCAATTTAAGCTTAATTTAACCCTTTCACTGTCATCGTCTCCTTCCGCAAAAAAATACTCGTGTATACTAGCATATTTATTTATCACAAATTGTTGAAAGTTGCTGATCTAATATCAGCAGGCACTTTTTTCTTGTTCTGTCCAAATGAACAATTTTTGAAAAACTTAAAAAATATGCACTTCCGATATGTTTTTGCTGGAGATGTATCTGCTGTGAAAGGGTTGATAGGAAAGAGTATTTCCAATACTGGCACTGAACAAATTCTTCTTATTGATAGGGCTTTTATGCAAATTTATTTGTATATTAAATAATTGTTAGTAATAATGAGGTTTTATGTGCCAAACTTTCCATGTTGAGGCTTGAGTTTAACTGCAACTTTTTTCAATTCCTCATAAATTACTGTTCAAAATGGTGATTTCACCAAGAACTGTATATAATAGAGTACAATGAACATTATTTTTTATAGTTTTATAAATAGAAAAACCTCAAATACAATTATTTGTAAGAAACTACTACAAATTATGAGCACTATGTTTAACTTGGTTGAACTTTGATCTAGGAAATTAGGGAAACATTCATTGTTAATCCGCCCAATTAAAAATTTTGCAAGTTAGGGAAGAGTAGGAAATCAAACTCGCGGTTTACCTGTTCAACAGAGGATTCCTGTCATCATGGATACAAACTGAAACCGTGCTATCACACGTACCAAGGTGGTTGTCATAGCAATCAATACCACACCAGTATATATATTGTACCACAACTGTTTGTCCAAAATGACTGGCGTCATGCCAATAACTGCCCTTCCCATCGTTATTCTTAGTCATAAAATGCTAGGCCAGCATTATTGGTGTACTTTGCATTCTAGTTCTCCCATATTTTGGCTCATTGTTGCAGTTACGATGTCTAGCCTAAGCAAGGAGTGATTCATTATTACGACAGACTTCTATTGTTAAATACAGTTTATACATCATAAATTTTGGCTCATAGATGCAGTCAAGATGTCTCTACTGAATTTCAATTAACAGTAATTAGCAAAAATCAGTGGTCACTCATTTTGCAATGGAGTCTAGATGATATAAACATTCAGTGTTATTTAAATTTTATATAGAATGGTCTTTAGACTTATTGTTGTAGTCGTCTGTACTGAATATGAAGCAGATTAAAAAAGATCATTGGCTATTTTCCCAGGTTACGT